TATTATCTGTCAGCAACAACAGTACAAGTTTATGCAAGGCTTCTTCACCCGAAAGGGAACCTCTTCTCTGTTTCCCTCTAGACATTTGGGTCCCTTTGTTACTTTACACTCCTGGGTTTATATTTTGTCCATAGGCTTCCAGGCCAAATAACTACTTAATTACCTTTCTGCATTGATTGATTGGCCTGCACTCCTAGTGGTGTGGAGAAATTCTTTACAGTAGGCATTAAGCATATCTGGGTTTATTTTAGCCCTGCAAGAGGCAAGAAGTCTATGAACTGCTGCTTCTGGACACTGACTGTTGATGATATGATGCTTTTTCTTGGTTGATGGTTCTCCTGTCTTCATTCTCCAGATATGACTCCCTGCATGTCTCCTCTGCCACACGACAGTCCCTTAATAGAGAAGCCAGGCTTGGGGCAGATACAGGAAGAGAGTGAAGGGGCGGGATTTAAAGCACTTCCTGGTAAGGGGTTAAATATTTGTAAAGTATTTCCTTTCCATACTCCACCCTACTTTTATACCTTACTCCTTACTAACTTTACCTTCATATTCCATGCACAGCAGTCATTTGTTGGCATCATCTCAGCATGGATAAGGACTAGTGAAAGGTCCTCAACACTTTAAACCCCAGTGTAGACAAGATTCATTTATCTTTCAGATTCCACAGTGTCAGTAAAGAGAAAGGCTGAGAACATTGCTTCGGTGGAAGAAGCAGAAGAAGACCTGAGTGGGACCCAGTTTGTGTGTGAAACTGTAATCCGATCCCTTACCTTGGATGCTGCCCCAGACCACAACCCTCCTTGCAGACAGAAGTCTCTTCAGAGTGAGTATCCCTGTGTTTCCCCTTACTGGGGGGTGGGGGAGAACCTCTCAATTGTGATTGCCAGGCCCGAATAGTTAGAAATGCTCTTCTTCACTGAGAGAGGAAGGAAAGTGATCTTTGTTAGACATCCAGATCATGTTTGTTTCTGTGGACTCTATTTGTACTACTTGACCATCCCAACTAGAGCATCAGGAGCAAAGAAGCTGTATAACTCGTTTCTGCATTTTCTCAGGGTCGGAATTACAGCTGCATTCCACAGAGGAACAGCAGCCTATTGTGCTGCCTGGACTTTGCAGTGAGGAATCTTCCTGTAAGTTGAACAAGCTCCTCAGCGGAGACCCCCATTGGCAGCTGAGTTATCTGGTTTCTCTAAGAGCAGTAGTCTGAGAAATGGAGTAGAAACAGGAGTACCAAACTAAGTTTAGTTAGTTAGCCAAAGTTAAGTTCTGCTATAGTAAATAGTTTTATAACAGAAACTCATAGATAACAGACAGAATCAATGTCATACGATCCAAAAATTCAAGTTCTATTGCAGAAAAATAATATGGAAAAATCTCTGTATTTATAATATTGAAATCTGACCTGTACTTTTAAATATGATTTGTCTCACTTTTGTTTAAAATATACATGCAGAGGGACCAGCAGTTAGCATAATGGCTATGTCTCTCAACTCCCATGTAGTCAACTGCAGTTCAAGTCCCACACTCGGTGGCTTAAACACACGCCGGGCGCGTGTGCGTGCGTGCCCAAGATCCTGAGAAGAGAATGGAGGAGAAGGGATTGCGGCGTGGCCACCCCCCCTGGGGGATGATTTCTCACTTTCTGTCTCTCTGTCTCTGTCTGTCTGTCTGGTGAGCACATACGCCCTATGGCAAAAACCTCTAAAAAAAAACAATACATGTAGAATTACATGTATTTTTTCACATGTATGTACAAATGCATAACAAAGAAGTTTGAAAGAACTTACACCAGAATGTTCACAGTTGTCATTCTGGTAGAATTTATGAGTACCTATTTTCCTTTTAAACTATATTTTATTTATTTATTTATGTTTAAGCTTTGTTTGTTTATTTATTTATTTTAATTTGACCAGAGAGAGGGACAGAAGGAGAGAGAGTGAAAGTGAGAAAGCAAGTGGTCAGATCCATGGTCAGCCATGTGGGAGTCCAGCACCCCTTTACCACCATACCACACGCCAACCTCATGAATACCTTTTTTTAACTTCCTTTTTTTTTGGGGGGGGGGGATTGCTATAGGGCACGTGCACTCACCAGAAAGACAGAGACAAAGAGACAGAAAGTGAGAAATCACCCCCCGAGGGGATGGCCACGCCACAGTCCCTTCTCCTCCATTCTTCTCTTGGGATCTTGGGCATGCTTGCACACATGGCTGACATGAGTTTAAGCCACCAGGTCCAGGACTTGAACCACGGTCGACTACAAGGGAGTCCAGCAACATAGCCATTATGTCAACTGGCGGTCCCAACTTTTTTTTTTTTTTGGAGAGGTTTTTGCTATAGGGCACGTGCTCTTGCCAGAAAGACAGAGACAGACAGAGAGACAGAAAGCAAGAAATCACCCCCTAGGAGGGATGGCCATGCTGCAATCCCTTCTCTTCCATTTTCCTCTTGGGTTCTTGGGCACGCACACACATGTACCCAGCGTGAGTTTAAGCCACCGAGTCCAGGACTCATACCACGGTCAACTACATGGGAGTCCAGCGACATTGCCATTACACCAACTGCTGGTCCCCATCACCTAACTTTTTTTGTAGCTCTGATATCAGTTTAATTTTAAACCCTTCTCAGTATATTAACTGTCATAGGAAAAGGAAAAGGAGTGGAATCTTCTTATTTAAGATTCATAGTGCTGTTTTCATGAGCTTTAGTTTTACATAGTCTCTGCTACAGAATTAGTTCTATTTAGTTTTACGTGATCTTCAAGATTAGATTACGGCCATAGTTCCAGAAATGCCCTTCTTTCTAATCTTTCCCACTCCTCTGGCTGTCATAATTCTAGCTCATGATTAACAAGGCTTTACTAAGTAAGGATAGCATTAGGGGCTACTTTTAGTTTCCTTAAAATTGGTTGCTTTTATCCTTTAGTGAAATTTGCCTTGCCTGAAGAGGGACCACTTGGAGATGAGAGGGAGGAAATTGTCCATATTGCTGAGGAAGAAGTTGTGGAGGAGGAGGATGAGCTCAAAGATGAAGTTCGGAGTCAATCCTCTGCTTCCTCGGAGGACTATATCATCATCCTGCCCGAGTGCTTTGATACAAGCCGCCCCCTGGGGGACTCCATGTATAGTTCTGCGCTCTCGCAGCCCGGCCTAGAGCGAGTGGCTGAAGGCGAGCCTGGGATTGAGGCTGGGCAGGAACCAGCCGAGGCGGGGGAAAGACTCCCTGGAGGAGAGAACCAGCCACAAGAACACAGCATCAATGACATCCTCATGACCTCACAAACTCTGGAAACAGTGCCCCTAATCCCTGAGGTGGTGGGGCTTCCACCACCACGGCCCAGGTACCACCCACATACCCTTCAGTTGAGCTATTCAGAGGTGAAATAAAGAGTGAGAAGAACCAACTTGGTCTCAAAATTTGGTTTTTCATCAGCATGGGGAGAGACTTTTCCATATGACGTCTGAATTTACAATAAATTAGTAAAAGTCATAGTTCCAAAGTTTTTTGTTTTTTTTTTTTCATTTTTTGGATTTAAAGAAATACTCATTTTAGTTAACTTTAATTATCTGAATGTAGTTTGTCTATGATTACTGAGAGCCAGTTTTTAAACACAAACATCCCTGAACCTATACTAATTGATCTACTGGTTTCATGGATAAAAGCAACAAAAACTCATTAACCAAAATCAAGCATAATTAGGAAGTTAAGTCCATCATGGAAAAAAATACACTGCAGAATTAAGTGGATGTTATTTTATGGGACCAACAGTTGTAATGGTTATGTCACTGGACTCCCACGTAGTGGACCACGGTTCAACTCCCAAACCTGGCGGCTTAAAATTCATGCTGGGCGCGTGTGTGTGCGTGCCCAAAATCCCAAGAGGAGAATGGAGAAGGGATTGCAGTGTGACCATCCCTCCTGAGGGGTGATTTCTCACTTTCTGTCTCTCTGTCTCTCCGGCAAGTGCACACACCCTATAGCAACAATTTCTTTAAAAAAAAAAAAAAAGAATTAATGGATATTATTTTTAATTCTCTATTGGATTTGAGTTAATGCTCTCTTATAGCATTAAAAAATGTTGGAGCCTTGACTAATTTAAACCATTCTCCCAAGAAGCTAGACATTTCCTTTTATCAATATCACTTAATGTAAGGAAGAAGTGACTAGGCTGAAGCCAGTCTTTCTAGATTGTGGCTACAGAGGAAAGCCAGGAGTAGAGTGTAGCCCTTCTGACCGGATTCCTAACTCAGACATGTGATCTGGATCAGAAATGTGAAGTCTCTGTAGAGAATTTGGCACTGCTATGCTGTGTTTACTGTTTCTCCACTGTTGCCAGAGGTGACTCTTCAACTTACTTTGAATATTGTGTCTTTCTGAAAGGAGCGCTCCTTGTGTACAGCATCATGGTTCCCCAGACGTGGATTTACCAGTTACCATACCAGAAGTGTCTTCAGTCCCTGATCAGATCAGAGGAGGTAATGACCAGCCTAAGTTTTACTTGTTTCTTTGCTCCTTTCTAATGGAAATCAGGTATAGGCAGTCTTCATGATTCTTGTCAGATTTGAGAAACTTACCTTTTCATTTTTTTCTGTGCTTCCCTCATACTTTTTTAATTGCCAGAAGGCTTGTGTGCTTGCCAGAGATGGACAGACAGATGGAGAGAGGGAAAGTACCCCCCCATACACAATGCACAATGCACATGGTCATACCTCATTCCTTCTTTCCATTTCTCCATCCTGTGGGGTTTTGGCCCCACACATACTACATACACGCATGCATACCAGGCATATCTTTCAAGCCCCCGGGGCCAGGATTCAAATTATAATTGGCTATTGTGGTTAAGGTCCCTGAACCACTAGACTGGGGCTAGGCCCCTCATACTTTTATTTCTAGTCTCTAGCTAAATATCTAGTAAGTGAGACCTCATAGAGGGAGGCACTGTGCTGTAGTGGAAAAAACACAGGTTTGGGAGCCAGAACAGTCTGGTTCCAGCTCTGGTTACATGTTTTCTGTGTGATCTTGCAGCAGTTCAGAGAATTTATAATGCATGTGAGTCTGCTTATTTACACAGTCAGGACAGTACTGCTACGAAGCTGTGATTAGACTCTCAAAGTCACTTCTCACTCTTCCCCAAAAAGCTAAACCTAAAAGTAGTTGAGAACTTACTTATCAGGGTAAGATTATAGAATCGGTTTCTCTCTGATTCAATAAAGTATTTTTGCATTGCATTTCTGGACAGTTTCTTTTATCACTTAAACCACCTGAAAAACTTCCCAAATACTTTTTAAAATAAAGAAAGGCTTCCAACACTAATCAGATTGCCACCTGCCTCAATAATAGCTTTGCTGTTAGGAAACACTAGACGCTTATGGATGCTGCATCTAACCAATAGCTCTTTTGCTTTTAGAGCCCAGAGGCTCATCAGGACTTGTAAACAACAGACAGAAGAGCTATGACCACTCAAGGTAACGACCTTGTGCAGTCTCTTCTACAGAAGCAGGTGGATATCCTACTATTGCTTCTGCTTAAAAGAGCCTCTCAGAGTGTGTGCCCATGTTCAGAGAGCAGAGAAGAGACCCCTTCCGTCACGTTCTTGTTCTCCCAAAGCTCTCCAGCACTGAACAAAGGACCATAACTGATGTTTAAGAGCATTCACAGTCCAGACAAGAAAGAGGTGCCCTCCAATTTACCTCATCTGAGTGTCAGAGGATAAGGCAGAAAGGTCAAGCCCAGAGTGCATCTTAGTCATTTTTTTCTTAGACACACCTGCCTCTGCTCCAAGTCACCTCAGAGCAGTATCCAGAAAATCATACTTCTCTTGTGAAGTGTCTTCCCTGAGATACTAATTGAACAAACAGACTGTTGATACCCTAGTGTGCCTTTGACCACAATAATTTTCAGCTAGAACTAAAAACTGGCATGCTAACCAGAGTGGTGTGTTTCCTGAGTGCCCATATCTTACACTAGCAGAACTGGGCCCTGCATCAAACCAGGATTTGTAGCTATAAAACTGATGTTGAAAACAACCATGTTTCTCTTTCTATATCTGATTTTTTTCTCCTTAAGAAAAATCTCATTTTCTTTCAAGGATTAGAACCCAGATTATCTTTAAGAGGGTAACAGCTTGTGTTTATTTGGGGAGATAATGTGGTTTTCCTCTACAGGCGCCACCAAGGAAGCAGCATTGCAGGAGGGCTAGTGAAGGGGGCTTTGTCTGTTGCTGCCTCTGCATACAAGGCCCTATTTGCTGGGCCACCAGTCACTGCACAGGTCAGTGTGTTTTATTTTTCTGAACCTCATCTCCAAGTCACCGGTGAAAATGATGGCATCTGTCTGGATTGGAGAATAACATGGCACTGTGAAAAGAGGATGGGCTTTAGAACACACAACAACGCCACTCTTTTATTTTTCAGAGGTTTTTGCTATAGGGTGCATGCGTTTGTTGGAGAGACAGAGAAAGACAGACAGTGAGAAGTCACCCCCCCAGGTGGGATGGCCATGCCACAATCCCTTCTCCATTCTCCTCTTGGGATTTTGGCCACGCACGCATACATGTCTGACATGAGGTTTTTTTTGTTTGTTTGTTTGTTTTTTTGGAGAGGTTTTTGCTATAGGGCGCGTGCTCTTGCCAGACAGACAGAGAGAGACAGAAAGCGAGAAATCACCCCCTGGGGGGATGACCATGCCGCAATCCCTTATCCTCCATTCTCCTCTCGGGATCTTGGGCACGCATGCACACGCGCCCGGCATGAGTTTTAAGCCACCGGGTCTGGGACCCGGACCGCGGTCGACTATGTGGGAGTCCAGCGACATAGCCATTACGCTAACTGCTGGTTCCCAACTTTTAATACTTTTGAGAGAGTGTTTCATGGGATTGCGACGTGACCATCCCCCCTGGGGGGTGATTTCTCGCTTTCTGTCTCTATGTCTCTCTGTCTGTCTGGCAAGCGCGAGCGCCCTATAGCAAAAATCTCTCCAAAAAAAAAAAAAAGAATTATTTTATTTTTATTTGTTGTCATTATTTTATTTTTTAATTTTTTTGAAGTTGACCAGAGAGAGACAGAAGGAAAGTGAGAAAGCAAGCTGCCAGGTCCAGGACTCAAACCACAGACAACCAAATCGGAGTCTAGCCGCCTTAACCACCATACTACCTGCCACCAGCCTGCCCCCCATGAGTCTTAAGCCATGCAGTCCAGGACTCAAACCTCAGAGGACTACGTGGAAGTCCAGTGACTTAACCATTAAGCCATCTGCTGGCCCCTAACTCCACTACTTTCTAGCTATAAGACTTTAACCAAGTTACTTGAGGGGAAAGAGAAGGACCCAGTGTTTGTTGAGGACCTCCTGTAAGCCAAGAGGAGCTATCCCAGGTAGTGGCACTACCAGATGAATAAGACATGGTCCTGTGCTATGGGTTTTCAAGCAAGGTAAACAGGCATTTATAATATGGGGTCAGATACTCTGTTGATGCTGCCAGATAGATGGAATGCTTTCTTTTAGTAGAGCTGAGGCAGGCTTCTTAGTGAGGCCTGAACTGAGTCCTAAAAGAGTAAGTGTTCCCCAGGAAAGAGAAAGGGAACTGTAGCCAGAGTAGACAGTAAAAAGTCTTAGAAATATGAGCATAGAGGGTAAATCTGGTCTGAGGAGAAGAGCAAGAAAGCAAAAGACCAACTATGTAGGCAGAATGCTGTGTTAAGGAGTTTCAGTTTTAAGGCTAATGGGAGGAGCCATAGATTTGGTTTTTTTAAATGCCAGACTATGCTTGCATGTGCCAGAGAGAATAAAGGAAGGAGGGAGTGAGCCAACCCACCAAAGGGATGGTCCTACCCACAATTCTTTTTCCTTTAGTTCCGTATCTGGTCAGGATCCTGGGCATGTGTGCCTGACATCTTTTTTAAGCCAGCTGGCCCAGGATTCATACCCTGGTCAGCCATGCAGGATCTAGCTTCCTCTCTGGAGTAAGTCTGGGGCCAGCCCTATAAGGCTTTATACCAGTGATTAATGTGATCAGCTTTGTTCTTAGTGAGATCACTCTGCTGCAGTCTGGAGGCTGGTGGAGACAGTAAAGAAACCTATATCAGGGCCAGCAGGTGGCATGTAAGTTAAGGTGGTGGATCCCACATGGCTGGCTGCATGGTTCAAGTCCCAAGCCCAGTGGCTTGTGTGCATTTGTGCCGAAAATCCTGAGAGGAGACTGGAAGAGAAGGGACTGCAGCATGGCCCCACCCCCAGAGGGAGGGTGATTTCTCACTTCCCTCTTATATGTACTCTCTTGCGTGCACAACTGCACATGCCCTGTAGCAAAAACTGAAAGAAAAAATAAACCTATATGAGTATCCATGTATAGGTGGAAAGGAGGGGTAGAAGAGATCATTAAGAGATAGAAATGACAGATCTTGGAGACTAATTAAATGACTAGCAGAAAGTCCAAGACAAATCCAAAGTTTGTGGCTTAGGCAATAAATAGTGTACCATTCATTAAGAGAGGATAAGCAGGTGAGAGAATATATTTGAGTAGGAAGAGAAGAAATTAGGTCAGTTTCAGATAGTGTTGAATTTGAAGCATATCTAGATAAAAGGTGAAAATAGGAAGTGTAATTGGATATATACACAGGGGAGAGATTTGGCCTGGCTATAGTTTTTTTTTTTTAATTATTATTTTATTTAAATCTATCTTTCATTTTTACCAAATATGGACAGAGAGAGAGAGAGAGAAAGTGAGAGAGCAAGCCACCAGGTCCAGGACACAAACCACAGTTGGCCATGTGGGAGTCCAGTGCCCTGGCCTGGCTATAGTTTTGAGAGTTACTTGCACAGAAATTATAGCAGAAACCATGAGATTATCCAGGAAGAGTGGTCGAGGCAAGAAACTGTCTTTAAGGAGCAAGAAAAGGAGGACCCTGCAAAGAAGACTGAGAACTAGGAGGAAAATGTAGAGCAAATTCTAAATTGGAACTTAGGGAAGGGAGTTTTAATGAGGGAACTTGGTAACCAGTGTTAGATGCTACACAGAGATGTGAATGAGGGGTGAGGAATTTGAAAGTGCAAGTATGCCCTACTTTCAAATAGCTAGGCTACAAAGGGAAAACGCTAAGGTGCATAGGAGACACATTTTTAAAGAAACTTAAGCCGGTAGTGAAAGAGAGGTTAGCAATAACTGAGAGGATAATGAATGGAGAAAGATGCTAAGGCAGTAGCAAAGTACACATGGAAGGATTAACCTGAAAGTAGATGGATCATCTATTTTGAAATAATAGGGAAGAAGGGAATTGTTAGTGTTCTGACTAAAACTCAGGAGGCGCCTTCCTTTATCGAGAGACGAAGGAAAGTTTATTGAGACAAAGAGCGCCCGGTGGGGTCTGAAGCCAGAGGTGCTTCAGCCCACCCTGCCAAGGATACGTGATGATATTTTTAAAGAATTATTTTTTATTTAACCTTATTATTGTTATTATTTTCCAGTTTAATCAGAGAGAGACAGAGAGAGCACAAGGGAAAGTGAGAAAGGAAGCCACCAAGTCCAGGACTTGAATCATGGTCAGCCCTGTGGGAGTCCAGCATCTTTAAGCACCATGCTACCTGCCAGCCCCAAGAGACACGGATGTATTTATATGGAAAGGGTGGAGGAGTTAAGGTCACAAGAATAGTAGGTACTTTGATTAGCTTACTTGCCACTGGGACCTTATCAGTCCATCTATGGGTGTCAGTAAGGGAGGGCTCTGGCTGGAAGATTCTGGCCAAAGGTCTCTGCCACCATCTCGTTTTCTCATGGGAAATCACCTAAAAGCTATTCAGGGGTGATCTAACAGGAACAGTTTAATTAGATATAGATCAGAAATACTGTGTTAAGGAGTTTCCTTTTTTTTTTTTTTTTAAGAATTATTTAACTTTATTTTTACTATTATTTTCCAGTTTTCATCAGAGACAGAGAGAGAGAAAGGGAAAGTGAGAAAGCAAGCCACCAGGTCCAGGACTCAAACTGTGGTCGGCCATGTGGGAGTGCAGCACCTTTAGCCACCAGGCCACCTGCCAGCCCCAAGGGGTTTCAGTTTTAAAACATGCTGAACACGTTTACATACTTTTGTCATCTTTGTACACTGTCACAAGCATGCATATGTATCTTTACTTCAGTAGTAAGAGGATTAATACTCAGCAGTTAAGTAAGTTGTGGAGTTATAGTTCAGCCTAAGCCTATCAGCCTCCAAAGTTAATAGCTCTGCTGCACAGCCTTACTATACCCAGTCTGAAATGGGGATGATAATAGAACAGACATTGTTAGGAGGAATTAGGAAGGTATTGTGTCCACCCTAGGGCTGTGCCCAAAGAGGGAACTGACTTCCATTTGTTTAGGAAGAAATAAAAGTCAAGAAGGCTAGGACCAGCAGATGACGTAATGGTTATTTATGTCACTGGATTCCCACATAGTTTGTAGTTTGAGTCCTGGACCCAGTGGCTTAAAACTCACACTGGGACACATGTTTATATATGCCCAAGATCCCGAGAACGGAAGAGAAAGGATTGCAGTGTGGCCCCCGAGGGGGGTGATTTCTCACTTTCTGAGTGC